CATCATTATCGTCATCATCACCATCAACATCACATCGTCATCATGGTCATTATGGACATTATGACATGGCACATCATCGTCATCATCATCTCAATTGTCATTACATGTCCAGGCATGTCGGAACCAGACGTCATCTTCCCCGTCACCCCCCCATCCGACCCGGCCATCGAAATGAATGGTGAAACAGGGAAATCTGCAGTGAAAACCACTGAAATCTGCGACATGCACAGGGTCAACAGAGAGCGTCATAGGAGGGTTGACCCTGAAGTGCAATGTCACAGCCGACGGCTGGTGATGGTTGTTTTCGTTCTACCAGACAGCAAGCATATCGGGGCCACCCTGTTGAATTGATTTCAATGTGGATCGTCGCAGTAACCTGAGTGCTGGCCTTGGCCTTAGAAGGCAGGTCCAGGTAGTAGTCACCGCATATTTTATTGGGTTGTGGTTGGTTGCTGCTCAAGCTTTGCAGCCAGCCCAGGCCACGCCCTCGCTGACCCAACAGAAGAAAGAGAAGGAAGGATACAAGGAAGGAAGGAAGGAGGGCAGGAAGGCAGGATTGCAGGAAAACAAGAAGGTTAGACGGCAGGAAGGACGGAGGGAAGGAAGAGGGAGCCCAACAGGGTGGGGTTGGACACAAGCAAGCAAGCGAGCGAGGTCCTCGACCGAGGACGTCAAGAGATGTAAGAACAGACTTCAAACTCAATCTAGGCGCGGCAGGTCGATTTGCGGCAGGTGGAGCACGGAGGATCATGTGTATAAGGATGAATGAGCGCGGATTGTTTCGTGACTATTTTGACAAGCTTGTCATAGCAGTTGAACCCTCAAGCCGCAAGCCTTTGTAGATGCAGTCGACGTGTTCGGCCATGTCGAACCGAAAGAGCAGTCCCTGCATGACATGTACCATCACGAGGCAGCGCAGTTATGATGCGGTTTGCAAGTGTTGATATGTAATTGGAGATGTACAAGCCTCCAACATCTGCGCGCCAGGCTCAAAACAAAAATCCTCGACATGACCACTTGCGGCGTGTCGGGGCGCAGGTTGATGTTCTGAACGGAACGAGCGCTCAGCATGTGTTGACTTATTGATTGGTGAGGTTTGCAGCCATGTTGCCAATTGGATTATTCCCCTCAAGCACCGTGTTCTGGCCAGGACTTGGTGCTCTGCAGCAGTGTCGACCAGTAGCTTGGAGCCTGTGCCCGAATGCAAAGACAAAGACAGCCTTTCAACTACCCAAGGCATCGTCGGACGATCTCTCCTTGTGAATGTGCAAATGGACGATGGCTCCACACAGGAGGTTCCCTGTGACTTGCTTCGGCCAGCTCAGCCCCTTCCTTACACCGTGTTGCTGGATGCTCCAGAGCTGAAGGCATCTCAAGCACAGCTTTCTGCAGTTTCTGTCTTCAGGCAAGCCAAGAAGCGGTCCAGGTCTCCCAGGTCTCCACATTCTACGGACAAACTCTGTTTCATGCCCAGAACCGGGCAAGTTCGGCTTCGTCGAAACAAGACGAACCAGGGAGCTGTTGCTGACATCTTGCAGGTGAAGAATTTCTGCGACGCGATCGTGCGAAGGCTGTAACAGATGCTAAGCCGATCTGCTCAGCAGGAAAGTTGCAGGCGCGACGTCTTGAGTGGTGACTGGTGTTAGCCCAGGCATGGGTATTTCAAGCCCATCCCGAAGCTGAAAAAAATGCTGATGACGAAAGACAAGTGCCAGAGCCTTTTCCGAGTTGAACACGCGCGCTCGAGAGTCTACTCTGCAACAAGGCTTGAGGCACTCGGCCCCGGATGAAACATCGCCTTTTTTGGTGCGGAGTGTCAAAGAGGATTGCAACTAAAGGGGTTTTGGCATTCCATGCTCTTGCAATTGAGCCTGTAGACTCAGGACCTGGTGCGGCCAGCACAAGTGGATCATGCTGTTCCTGAGGCATCCCAGATTTCTCGTAGAAAGTGTTACTCCTGATGATATGCTGGGAGGAGAGGCGTTCACAGCTCATGCAAGCCAAGTGCTCGTGGTTCTCAGGGCAGTTTATTTCACTGTATAGTTGACTTTCCGGCAGCGAACCTTCTCAAGGTCGTGCGCAAGTATGCATCTGGGGGCACTTCGCGATCGCTCTTTGATCGCCAGGCCCTGGCTTGGCATTCTGACTCGTGTCGCTGGGCGTTGAGTTTGTCCCGTGTGTCGAAAGCAGCTGACCCTGAGGACCAGCAGGGTTGACGATGAACTTGCACAGATTCGGCTCAAGCATGAATGGACCCCTAGCGAGTTCGATAACAACCTCCGCGTGTCGCGTGCATCTTGTCGTTGATGCACGGGCCTGGCAGAGCAACCTCGTTCACACCTTTTGCGCTGGAGTGCCCGCCAGCACCAACATATGAGCTGCAGGCAATCGTGAAGGCCCAGGAAAAAGCCAACGAAGCAATTGAGCTGGCGCAGAACATGGGTGCAGAAAAAGCTGCGCACTTGGCCAAGCGGGCCGTCGATCGCATAAGCATGGTGCAAGGCTGGTTCACATACTACGCCTACCGAATGTATTCGGACTTGCAGGACGATATCCACGAAGCCCGATTCGATTTGGAACAGGCTGCTCAAAGCGCATACAGCGAAGCATCTGGTTCTGAGGCAGGAAATCTTTTGTCTTGCGCGGCAGACGACCTGCTGACATATGATCCTATGCCGAACATTCATCCGATGGACCATCGGCTGAGCTGCATGCCACTCTGGACAAGCTTGCCGTTGCTCGAGTTGAGAGAGACCACACGCAGTAGCAAACGTTTGCAAAATGCAAGGAGCTTCTTCTAGGCCGGGCGAGCAGCACCTGGCTGGATCTTACGAAGCCGCGGAGCCAGAAATAGGGCCCACTGTTCGCATTCTGTCAAGACAAGCTAGAGTCAGAGCGTGGGGGTCAGAGAGGGACAAACAGACAGACACAATGAAACTGCCTGTCGGACATCCAGTGACTGTCACCTGCTCTGGCATTTGCCACGGAGAGACATGCGCGGTGGCGTGGCTCGCTTGCTCTTTTCTTAACGGAAAAACCTGCTGCCTATGCACATGCCACATTGGTGAAAGGCAAGTTGTTAGCACTGGCATGTCCTTGGATCTGTCGTCCGTTATTCCCGAACGTGGCAGGACCGCTTTGAGTATCATGACTGGAGTTCGGCCGCAAGTTCTGCCGCAGAAGTGTTGGTGCGCACCCCAGGGCTCCTGTTTCGTTGCTGGTTGTCCTTGTCCTGGTGAGACGACAGACATTCATGATGAGTTTCAAGGTGCCTGAGACATTGAGGCTAGGTTAGCAGGCCAACTGCTGGTTTAGCGAAGCATCTTGCGGGGGAGAGCAAGATGACTCGGTGTTGGAATGCGCTCCTGGCATACATTCGCCCAGGATTTTATGCATGCTGTATGATCAGAACTACAAAACAAGGCTTGCTGGCAAGTCTCGTTGCAGTGCAGTCAAGGAGGCCCATCCTTTTACAAGGACGGGCCAATTGTGGGTTCACGTGCTCTTATCTACGAGAGTCGCGAACGGGAAAATGCGTGGCAGGTAACCCATTGCAGCACGAGCGCCAGCTCCATGTGGTCAAATTCTGCCAGTCAGAGTCAAATTAGATGTCGAGGCCCGCCAGAGTGAGCGGGCAAGACAAATCGCCCATGTTTGGCCTGTGTCAGTGTCGCGGCCTTGCAATTTTTGGCATAAAAGATCGTAAAAGTCAAGCTTGTGCGGGCCTGTTGCGGCAATGTCCGTGCTCCATCCCTCGCTTACATGGGCCAAGCAGCCGGCGCAGCTGTGACGAAGAAAGACAGTGGAAATGGGCACTGCAGCTTGAAGCAGTTGTCATGGGGCTTTAGCTCTATGCAGGGCTGGCGCCCACGAATGGAGGATTCGCATTTTGCTTTTGCTCATTTGGGTGGAGACTGGGCTGACACTGCAGCTTTTGCCGTGCTTGACGGGCATGGAGGCCGTGAAGTTGCTTTTTTTTGCCAACATCGCTTGCCATCGGCTATTGCGAGGCACCCGCGTGCAGACCCTGAAGCTGCCTTGAGAAAGGCTTTTGAGGAAATGGATGAACTGCTTTGCAGACCGGAGGAGCAAAGTTATCTGCAATCGTTTACGGGAGCGACCCGCAACGGCAACAAGATGCTATCTGACGCGCGTCGCGTGGGTTGCACAGCTGTCGTGTGCCTTGTGCAGCCAGAGCGGCTCATAGTTGCCAACGCTGGAGACAGCAGGGCGGTCCTGTCGCGTGAAGGCTTTGCCGTTCCGTTATCAGAAGACCACAAGCCAAACCTTCCTGCCGAGCTTGATCGGATTCAGAAGGCTGGTGGTGTCGTAGAGCGACAGCAGATCGGCAAATTTATCCAGCACAGGGTAAACGGAAACCTCAATCTCTCTAGAACAATCGGTGATTTGGACTACAAGCGCAACTCGGCCCTGCGCATGAGTGAGCAGATCATTAGTTCCACACCGGATGTCGCATACTTTCAACGGGAAGCGCGCGATGATTTCGTATTGTTAGCTTGTGACGGTATATGGGAGACAATGAGTAGCCAGGATGTGGTGGACTTTGTCAACGAACGTTTGAAGAAACATGCAGCGCCAGAAGGATCTTTGTCCAACATTATGGAAGAGCTGCTGGATCACTGCTTAGCACCAGATTTGGCAGCTTCAGGTGGCATTGGTGGTGACAACATGACGGCACTGCTTGTTTTGCTCCAGCCGAGATGCGGGCTGATCTCGGGGGTCCAGTCAACGACGTCCCACTGCTCACCCAAAACCACAGCATGGTGTTCGTGCCACTAAGACAGGGCAAGCTTGGGGACCGGCCAGCACTCTGGCCCGTGTTTGACTGCAGTGCCTCAAAGTGGGCAGATTGCAGACGCGCAGCCGCAAAGCATCGCCAAGAAGCATTGTGCAGCCCATCGACGATGATTTTGCTGCCGTTTAGAGATGTGTTGTTATTGCTCCCCACTTTGATCGCTTGCTGCTTGCAAACCAGCCTTTGCAACATCCAGAGTACAGCTGCAAGCCAACTTCGCTCCAGATCGTGTCATGAATGTGCTATCTTAGCAGATTGGTCATGCCTGCACGGAAAGCTCATGGCACCGCAACAAAATGCGCCTGCCTACGATCGTGACTTCATACTTCGAGTGGAACTGAGTTGTGATTCGTGCATGCTCAACTCTGATGAATCCGAACTGCTGTGCATTTCCGTCATGGTTGTCGTTTCATTCCGAGGTGAAGAAGCCCAACAGTTCCCACAAGGTGGGCATGTGCATGACAGTGGCAGAATGCTGGATGTTGTGGGCGTATGTCTGCCACGCAATTACTCGTCCAGGAGCAAGGGGCAGTTGCTGCTGAGCCTGCTACAACAAGCAGCGCTGGTAACATGGCTGCGTCATGAGTCATGATGTTTTGTTGCAGGAGGACTCAACGAGTCGTCAGGCTCCTTGCGGCTGCTGAGGTGCCAATGGTTCATCCCTCGCGGTAAGCGCGTCGCACGAGCCAGAACAGCAGGAACTCCAGGAGGAGGCCGGAAGTTTGCAGGAAGAGCAGGAGGAAGAGCAAGAGGAGGAGGAAGAGGAAGAGGAAGAGGAAGAAGAGGAAGAAGAAGAGGAAGAAGAGGAAGAGGAGGAAGAAGAGGAGGAAGAAGAGGAGGAAGAAGAGGAGGAAGAAGAGGAGGTAGAGGAGAGCGAGCAGTCGACACGCGCAGAAGAGCCACAAGTGCCTCAGCATGGTTCAAGCACTGTCGCGGAAGACGAAACTGAGCACACCCGACTGGAAAGCCTGAAGGACCTGCAGGCATGCGTCTCTTCCAGGCACGATCAAATAGAGGCGCTGCAGCATCGGCTCCAAAGTGCAGGCCAGCAGCGGCGGCAGCATCAGGGCGGAGAGCTGAACAGCAGCGAGCGCGGCGAGCTGCAGGGTCTGAGAGACCGGCTGCAACGGACTGAACATCACCGAGCAGGCCTGAGGCCATCTGAGCTGGAGCTGCGCTCCATCCGGGAGCAGCACAGGGCTGTTCGGGGGGAAGTGGCCAGCTTTCAATATGGTGGAGGCGACGGGGACGGGCCTTCCCACGATCAGGTTGCATACCTCACGTGGCAATGCGAAAGCTTGCGTGGATCCATCTCAGCTGCGGAGAAGGATGCAGCAGAGGAGCATCGACATATCTCCAAGTTGGAAGCTGAAATGAGCAATGAACACAGGGCAGGAGATGAGTATTCCTTGGCTCTGAAATACCAGCTGGCTGAAACTGCACGGCTGGAAGCAGCAGAAAAAGTTGCTGCCAATGAACTTGCCGATTTGACCGATCGCTATTGGGATTACGCACCATTCAGTGCTGGCAACTATGGATTCACTGCGCTGGCCATCGACCAGGAAATGCTGCAGACTTTGCCTCAGTGAGTTGCGGAGTGACCCGTTTTGTTCTGTTGGTGGTAACTTGACAGTGCTCATGGCAGATTGCGGCAGCGTGTCGGCTTCGAACAGGAGGAGGTCGCACGTTTGGAAGGCAATATGCACCCCTGCGGAATTGCAAGCATGAACATGTGAAAAGTTGGTGGGGAGTGCTGTGGCATATGCCGAGCTGAAGGCAAGCTGATCCAGGCCCGTGCCGCCTGCAAGTCGGCAGGCGATGCAGCCGCTACAGTCCCGATCCTGGTGTTCAGCCGACTCGAGCCAAGCCTGATTTCTTCGCTTTCTTCAGGTAGTCCGGGTTGCTCGACGTTGCATCCTGCACCCGGTCATATTCGGCCACTCCCCCCTCTTCTCATCCCCTGCTCTCCTCCGTCAAAAAACTTCCTGCTGTTGTTGACGCAATGACGAGGTCCCCGAGACAGCTCAGGACCTTTTGTGGGCGTCCCCGAGACAGCCTCGAGGTGTCCTCGGAGTCGATCTCTTGATGCGAAAGGGCCCATCGGCCATGGCTTCGCGAAGACCATGCTTCCAGACACAACATCCCACTCCCCCCGCAACCCCCCCACCCAGCCCATCCCACCCCTCCCTCCTACACCCACCACTCAGCCCCTTCACCCTTTACACCAGCGAAGATGCCCAAGTTTCATGACTAGGAGATAGAAACTGCAGACTCGAAATCTTCGATGGCCAGAAACATGAATTGTATTGATGCCAAGCATAAGAAGGCCAAGATCACAACTGAATGGCGCAAGCTGCATGATCAGAGGCACAACATAAAAGACCCAAGTCAGTGAAGCTACGTGCGTCGGCTGGCGCATCTCACCCAGTTCGTTTGCTTGCTGAAGCTTGCAGGTTTAGGGTTTGGGGTAGATGATTGTGTTATGCGGCTTCCCAAGCACGAGCGAACTTGTGCCGCCAGCATTCATCCAGACCCCCTGCTAGTGGGAGTCACAATCCAAAGTCGTAAAGGCAGCCTGTCGCGATTAGAGTTTCCTCCATTACCGCCTCAGGCAGTACATCTTGCACATGTTTTGCGGGAGCAGTCGAAGGTGGGGAATTGCTGGGCACCAGCACGTGTTAGAATCCGTCTGCGCAAATTTAGATCACCAGATTATCTGATGGGTCAATGCTTGTCTGGACGGTGGCTGACTCATGGTGCAGGCTTTCGACGTAGATCAGGACGAGGCACCAACGGAGCTAGCCTAGGTTCACAACGCAGAGTTCAGGTAATGTGCATTCCTGAATGCAAAGGCTGCGCACGCAAACCTGCAAAAAGTCGCAGCAGTGCAGGCGCAGTCACAGATTCGTTCATTGGCTCTTGACAAAGTTTGATGCTAGCCAGGCCAGGCCATGCCATCAGGCCGAAGACGAGCTTCCGGGTCGCAAGCCAAACCCATGCATCAAGCTGGTTTCGTCGGTTTCTTCAAGACTGCAAGCACGGGACAAGAGATGACAACGCAGAGTTTAGAGTGTAAGATTGTAAGGATAGTGGATACCGTTGCGTCCGAACACGTCTTGAAGCAAAAGCTCGGCGAGGCAGGACACCGCACGGGAAGCGATGTTGGAACCCATGACTTTGCTGAGGTACGACGTCGCAACAAAGAATTAGAAAGACAGGTGGGAGTGTAGCTTTCCTACATATCGCTCCTGCGCCCATGTCTGCTCGCATCGGGAGGTGCAAGCTGCGAAGACTCGCTTGGCTGGCAAAACCCACAGACACTTCAAGCCGGTAAATTCAATTACCGAGGACATGAGTCTTGTTTGCATTGATTTGATACCGAGCATTTCTCAAAAAACTAATCTAGCATTTTGTCGGGGGGGCGAGGAGGATTGTTTTTTGCTCAGACTGTTGTTTACAACCAACCGAAGAAGTTCATTGGAGGACCGGAAGCTTCAGCACTTGACTTTGAGGCCTGTGAATGGGTCCATTGGGAGTTGTTTGGGATCACGTGGCCAGAAAAAGGGGGGGGTCATTGGAGAGGGGACTAAGAGGAGGGGAAACAGGAGATTCCTGTAGGAAACTCTGACCTCTTTGGCCAAGAACGGCACTCTCTCTCTCTCTCTCTCTCTCTCTCTCTACATATATATGTATATGTAAATGAATTTTATATATATATATATATTGTATACATATATATATATGTGTATATCTATGTGGCACCCTCTTTAAATTCTCTATATGGTAACTTGGGGGGATAGAGGTAGTTACTGGCTGGAGAGGGATTGATAATATTGAGTACATGGGTTAAGTCGCATCGACTTGTGCTTAGTCGCATCGATCCAGTGCGTCCTGGCTGAACATATTGTTAACCCAAACGTTCCACTGCTGTGATACGATGTTGCATGCTTGTTTGTGCAGTGTGCCCTTGCGGAAATGTATTGTCAACCCATACAATCCACTACTGCGATAACATCTTGCCTCATCTTGCATGCTGGTTTGTGCTTTGTGGAATCGAGTGTCTTCATGAGGAAAGGCCGGTTTCGATGTGTTCTGATGCCACACGTGTGTGTCTCGAACGGGGGTGCTTGTCCATTTCGGAGCTAATCACGTGGCCTTGTTGATTATAGGTCCAACTTGTCCAAACCAGTCTCGGTCGCACACACACACACACACACACACACACACGCACACACACGCACACATGCGCGCACACACACACACACGCACACATTGGAAATGGCAGATCACTTGGGATTTATCTCCCAAGGTCGACTTGTTTATGTGCACCGCGGGCCCGAATACCGAGATACATAGACGTTCTTGCTGATATCTTTGTATGTGTTGAAACCCACATTCGGGCCATACGCACATGGCGTCGTGACTTTTGATAAGATGAAACGAGGTATTTTGAGTGCCATAAAGACACGAATTTAAAACCACTGTTGATTGATTGGTTGATATATATTGAGGGATTTGTTATTTTTGATAGGTGGTTCTACGAGGTGGAGAGAAACTAAAATCGATTTATGTTCTTTCTATTCATTTCGCTTTTCTTATTGAAATGTATAGTCGGACCGTCGGTCTATGAGAGATCGATCTCCGATTAGATATATTAAAATTAAATTGAGATATATGTATATTTTAATTTATATGTACTATATATATATATTATAAAATTGAGATATATATATATATATGATTATTTCTCTGTTTCTTTTTTTATTGATAGATTATGTTATTTCTTTAGGCATATAATATTAATAGATAGATGATTATTATTTTTTCTACTTTTAATTACGAAATTTAGGTTCGTTTCTTTTTTAGTTTTCTAGAATTTCTAGAAAATTCGAGAATTTTAAAAAATTTAATTTTCTAAATGCTCTGTTTAATTTAAGGACCGGCTCTGTGGGATAGGGTCTAGATTTTTGGGAATGTCGGAAATTTTGGAAATTTTGAAATTTTTCGAAATTATAGAATTTTCGGAGATTTCTAAAATAATTTGACATAAATAAATATATTTTTTATTTCGGGATATTTCTCTAGATTCACGATTTACTCTTGTTTTTGTTTTTAAGCTTAGAGTATTTATTATTAGGGGGAAAGGTCTTATTATAATTGATTATTTTTTATATTTATTTTATGAAATATCGTTTATATTAATTTAATATTCGTATTTCCAATAATATTTAATATATATATTTATAAAACCTAATATTAATAGGCGTATTAATATTAATATCATTATGAATTTAATTTTCGTATTATTTCATATTTCTATTCGTAGAAGCATTATTATTTATATTAATATTAGAATTAGTATTCACAAGTTG